CAGTCCAGGGAGGGGAGTTAAAGGCACAGCGGTCCCACAATTCCAGGTTGCATGCCGGGAATCCGTCATAGCCTCCAATGTATGCCAGGCACTGGAAGCAGGAGGATCCCAACCTCAATGCCAAAGAGTCCTGGGATTCTAGGGATAAGGGTGAAGCTAGCCCTGAAGGTGTGAACAACTGATCTCACTCATCCAAACTGGATTTATGTCTGCAGAGGGAAGGGGGCAGTATCTTACGTACGCACTCTAATTTCCTCAGTGCACACAGTGTGCCTTTATGGAATGTTATTTCCCTACAGGATCAGAAAATTGATTGCTGTGGCTGTGAATGCTATTAGAAACTATTGTATAACTACATCAATAAAACTATATTTCATGATGGTATGATTGTACATATTGTTTTCAAAACCAGGTAAGTAGTTTTTTAAGAAAGAGATATAGCTGGTTAAAGAACAGTGGAATGGTACAGCCTAATGTTAACACATTTTTCCTAATATTCAGCCTATATTTTTCTTATTTTCATCCCATTGCTCCTAGTTATAGCCCTCTCGCCCTGTTAAATATTCCCCTCCACCACTGGGTTTGATTCTCCCCTCACACAAATCTGACCCCACTATGACTCCATTGAATTCAATGGAGTTATTAGTGATACACACTTACGCAAAGGAGAGAAGAATCAGGTCACTAGTATTTAAACGTTTCAGATACTTGTAGAGAAATGTTACTACCCCCACTTAGTTGTCAGATCGCTAACTATATATACTCTTTTTAAAAAGGTATGTATTTATTGGGTTTAGTAACCAAATATCAGTCATGGACTACTGTCAAATAGATGAACGTATACACCAGCTTTTAACTAACTACAACTTTCACATGGACTGCAACTGTTTCACTGGCAGTTCTGTTTAAATAAGGATGACCTGTTAGGGCCCACTGAGATCCATTAGGCTCTGTAATAATCTTGCACAGAGAAGTAAGCAGTGGTTACCACGTAATATGAGGCATTTAAAACTAGACTGGCTATAACTGTTTTAGAAAACGTATTGCAGGAAAGACTCCTTAGCAGGTAACAAACTAGATAATTATTAAATCCTTTCATCTCTAATTTCTGTTATGAGTTTGCGGCAGTATAAATCAATGGTGAGTCACAGTAATGTCTTGGCAAATGAATATACTGCCTTAAATCACCTGAATGCTGAAATTCTGAATCTCTGTACAGGGAAAGAACAGACTCCCTTTCCCCCACCCATGAGGTTTTTGTAAGACAACTTCAGATTCAAACGTCAGTTCCAGTTCTCTTCAGAAGAGTTAAATCTCTGCAATAAAGCAGCCTGATTATGGGGCTTTGATGTGTGGCACAGCTTTCAGAGAGAGAGCCAAATTGAGGGACCTACTGTGCATAGCCTGGTTCCCAGGCTCCCTGCCCGCAGAAGAGTATGATGTAATCATTCCTTATGCAAAACAGGTGAACAGCTGTGTTTGTGAGTTTACTACAGTTTGGCTAAGGAGCAGCATTAAAAGCCCTGGAGAGAAGTGCCACTGTTAAAGAGCCAGGTAGTTTCTGAAGCCCCATACTCCCCTTCATGTCTAGGTGTGGAGGAGGATACAGTTCCATCTCTGTGGCACATTCCCCCTCTCCTTCCTCTCTTGGAGGGCTGTGAATTTTGGAATGGGTAAAGCAGATGTGGACTAGGCTCCTCCAGATTCTCCCTCACCCTACACCTTACTCCTGAGGGCATTCTGCACCAAAAAATTAAAAATTATGCGCACAGTATTTTAAAACTCTGCAAATTTTATTTGTCAAATAAATGTGGAGGCTCCAGCATGGCATTGGGGAGAACAGGCCACTGACTGCACAGAGGTGGGAGATCACTGTGCAGATCCCCTTTCTCCCAGGGACACAGACTCAGCGGTGAGGCTGCATCCAACCCTGATACAGTGCAAGGACCGGGCCTGCCCCAGAAACACCCCAGAGCCCTGCCCCTCCATGCCAGTGCACCAGGGGTGGGCAGGCAGGTTCAGCAAGGCAGGATCCAAATGTGGAGGGGCTTAGTGTGAGGGGATTCAGGTGTGAGTTGAGAGGGTTCTGTGTCAGGCAATCTGGGTGTGGGCAGCTCAGTGGGGGATCCAGGTGCGGGGGGGATCTGGATGCACAGGGGCTTATTGGAGGGTTCTGGGTGCAACGGTAATGGGACTCTGCAGGGGAGTCCAGGTGAAGGTGGTTGGGGCTCAGCGGATCTGGGTGTGGGGGAGATAGAGTTCAGCAGGAGGCCTGTGTATGGGGGGCTCAGTGTGGGGGTCGGGATCCAGATGCAGGGGGAGTGGGACTCAGTAGTGTGGGGATCCGGGTGCGGGTGGGTCGTTGGGGTGGTCAACGTGCAGGGGGGAGTGGGGCTTACTGAGGGGGGTTCTCGGTGTGTGTGTGGGTCAGGCTCAGCAGGAGGGTCTGGATATGAGGATATGGATGCACAGGAGTTGGACGGATGGGGGGCAGCTCCCTGTACAGTGATCCCTCCCCCTGCAGCTGGGGAGCGATGGGTGCAGGAAATGCTGAGGGGTGGGGAGTTTGCAGAGCTTCCTACAGCCGGGGGAGAAATCTGGGGGTGGGTCTGACCTGGACGCAGTGCAGGGGAAGAGGACGTCCCATCCTCCCCAGCCCAGCTGGGACTAGCAGCTAAGCCCGGTGCAGGGTAGGAGCCACCAGACATGTCTTCCCCAGTCCTGCCCTCACCCCACAGTGATTTGCCTCTCTGCTGGCTGCCCTGGGCACCCGAAACATACTGCTGGGGAGGGTCGCATGACTGCTTTTGTGGCTTCTCTTTGCTTCCCTGTCAGAAAGTCATTTTTCTGCAGGGAAACAAAGAAATCTGTGGGGGACATAAATTCTGCACATGCACAGTGGCACAGAATTCCCCCAGGAGTAACACCTGCAGAGTAAAACAGCCAACGCTGAGAGCCCTGTGCGGGACTTTTTTAATCCCGTTCCCATTTCACTCCTGCTATTATGGCAGCAGGTTCTGTGGGACCCCAGTCCCATTGCAGAGCTCTAGGCTAAGGCTTCCCTTTCTTGCTGAGGAGTCCCCTTTAGATGGGTGCAGGGGAATAACCACAGTGTAAGAGGAGGGGTGCCTGATGCATGACCAAAAAGACATGTTTACAGAGACTGGTGGGAGGCTATAGAACCAGAGGGCATAGAGGAGGCAAGGGGCATTTGTGCAGATGCTCTTGCCTCCTGGAGACCTTGCCGTTAAAGGTGCATCACCCTTGACTTCTTTCGGGAGGGGCAGGAGGCACAAACCCTGCTCTCCCCAATAGGAGAATTCAAAGGAAGCTCCACATGTTGAAAAGCAGGGAGTTCTCTTTCCTCCGCATGATTTATTCTCATGGAGGGGAGGACAAGGCCCTGAAATGGGCTGGGGAGTGATGTCGTCTGCAAACATGTACATTTTTGTGATAAATGGAACCCCGGCCCTTTCATCACATCGGCCCATAACACTGCAGAGGAAGGAGTGAGGAGGGAATAAAAAGGAGAACAGCAATATGAAGCTCAGCATATTACTTTCCATTTCAAAACGGGCAAAGCAGAAACAGGGAAATATGTTCACTATTAAATTTACAAGCTCTTTGCATTCCAATCATAGTTAGTAATTTCACATTAAAAAGAATAAGTTATCATTCACCACTTATTGCCTGAAGGTCACATAGTCCAAACAACACGAGGTCAAAGTACAAGCTGTCTCATGAACTGTACATTGAAAAAATCAAGTTGCACTTGGCCTATTAAGTGTAGCGCATGCTAATCTCTGTTTACAGCTTTGATCTCTTATCAGCTAAATTCCTCATTACAACACTCTGGCCCCACAGACACAAACACACATACATTATTGAAAGAATATGGTATGCATATTCATGAATATCTAAAATTTTAGAAATAGTGCCCACAAGTACCACTGCAGAGATGTGTCACATAGTAATTAACCTGAACGTCCATTCGGTGTGGATTGGTGTGTAGTATTCTGATTATCTGCTCTGAAGAGGTATGCTTTTTTTTTTTACTTGCTGTCAAGGGCTGCTTCCTACATTTTCGTCCTCTCTCCAAAATCTAAGGCTCAAGATAATATTCTATCCTTCAACGTGCTCTTCACAACAGGAAATTTTGAGATTATATCAGGAGGGAAATAAATAGTATTACTTTTTTCCCTCCCCCTTTCTCTTTTTCTCTAGCAGATTTTTACCCCTTCAATGCCATACTCCCAGGCATACCAAAGGCCAGTTCTGTATAGGGACAGAAACAACCTGAAATCTAATGAGGTTCTAAAAGGCAAGTTAAAATTAGTTCTAGCTACTGGTTCTACACCTCCCCCAAGTCCCCCTGCTGTTGTGTGTTTGTACAGAGCCTAGTACAGTAGATCCTGGTTTGTGACTGGGGCTCCTACGTGCTACCACAATACAAATAATAATAATGATGATAATAAATAAAATGGAACTACTCATGTTTAAAATTAAGCATGTGCATAAATATTTGACTGTCTGGGGCCTAAATAACTGACTACATAGAGGAAAACAGAGACTCGCAAAGTAAATAAATAGAGACTTTTTTCTAAATTCTTTCGGTTACAGTAATTTTAGATGTTACTTATAAGACTAGTACATAAAAAGTTTCTGGAAGAAACATGATTTCATCTTTTAAGTGATGTCTGAGACAGGTTGCCATGTCTGCATAGAAGCCTCCCTCTGATTGACAAAACTGTTTACCTAGGGGCATTCCACAGCTGTTAGCATGAATCATTTATCACATAATCTATAGAGGGGATTTAAAATAATCATTCACCAGAGAAAAAACTGCCTTAATAAGCAGCAAAGCTTTTAGGGACTTGTTTATGGTATGTGCTTTATGAACACAAATGTTTTATTACCCCACAACAGAAGAGAAAGTCAGGATAAATGAAGACAACAAAGTATGCATGCAATGCTCATAAAATAATGTTGTTCCTCTACAGTGGTCAGATTTGTGAGCAATGCTGTATACCTGCACTATTGAGAAAAGTGTGAGCTATTCCGTCATTAAAAGACACAAGCATCCTGAACCTATCAGTCTCATAATCATCTCCAAGCTGTTGAAGGTGAGTCACATTCTCCTAACACTTTGCCCACTCAGTAGATCTTATCAAGGATTTAATAGGTTTTAAAGGCATCTGTTGAAAATTAAACATAAAGGGTCTGATTCCCCACTGCTTTGCACCTTTTGCCATCATTTATATTGGGGCAAAGTGAAGAGAACTAAATCAGAATGGCAGCATTTTACACCTACTCCGCACAGGTATAAATGATGACATAAGGTGGAAAGCAAGGGGGGGAATCAGGCCCTAAATATTTACATTCCTCCCAACCTTTCATTTGTATAGATGCATCCAAAACTAAAATACACCAACTGATGACAACACTTTACAATGTCATTGTGACACTCCGCACTCCAAAGCAACACCCTGGCACCCCCATATTTACTATGGTGATATGATTATGGGATGTTTTGTACAAAGTATGCCTTGTAAGGTATCATTCTAAAAGTCTTGCTCTGTTGAACATTAATATCCTGTTGGATTGTATGTGCTATCATTGTATGGGAAGTTTTGAAGTTTTGCTATGTGTGTGTTACTGAAATATGCTGCGAAGTCGGAAACACCCACAACCAGCCTTTCAGGTACAACAATGAAGTAGCCAGACGCACTGATAGCTACTGTAATATGCAGTCTGCTGACAGATTGCCAGGGAGTCTCTGCTCCTGGGAGCTGCCCTAGGATGACCAGACATCAAATGTGAAAAATCGGGACGGGGGTGGGGGGGTAATAGAAGCCTATATAAGAAAAAGACCCAAAAATCAGGACTGTCCCTATAAAATCGGGACATCTGGTCACCCTAAGCTGCCCATGGCTTCTGGCCGTTGTGCTTTTCCTTTCTCATTTTTCTGGACTGGGGGAAGAAAACCCGCTGGGGACTGGTGCAGCTGATACTATGGTAGAGTTTCTGCTTGAAGGGGTGGTTGGTTCTTCCCCAAATGATTGACCAGCAGGAAAATTATGTAAACTCTCCTTTTCTGCTAGCTCCATTTCAGAGGTTGGCTTGGGAGAAAAAACACGCAGGCTGAACAACTTTACCCTACCCTGACCTGGCACTTCAGATCAAAATGTAGATGCTAGGACCTACAACCACTGCACAGTTTACTTCAGATTACAGATGACATATTATCTACGGAACATGAAGTCTTGGGACATCGCTGATGTAAAGGGGTACAGCTACCCACAACCTGCACCATATTATGCATGCACAGTTCCCAGCTTCTTAGCCATTAAAAATACTAACACACACAGGTCTCTCCCTATTGAAAACTCTAAACAAAATACTCCACTTACTGTTTTTGAGGTAGCACAGGGAGTTGGCATCACCGTGGGAGGCTTGGCTGCATTTTGGGGTGGAGGCAGAGTAAATCTCTGCCCTGTGTCCGGAGGAGAAGAGTGAATCCGGGTTTCTAGTCTCTCAGGTTCATGTTTATAGGATTCAAGAGGAAATGGAGGCTGCTTGGTCACTTGTGTTGGGGTAGATGGAGAAGAGGAGAGGCCGGAGGCTGTAAACAAAGAAATCGTTATTAACGTGCAGGTCAAAACAAGAGCGGAGAAGAATCTAAGCTGAAAACTGAGCCTGCACTTGCTCAGCCAATTTTTCTATCCTTCCCTCAAAAAAACAAATACACATCTCATCCTTCTGTTTCTAAAGGGGATTTCCTCCTCCCTCTGCTTAAAACTTAAATAATTCAAATGTATCCTGTGTATAATCCATTATACAAGGAGGTAGCATTGTGCAGTGGTTAGAGCAGAGAACTGGGAATCTTCCCAGCTTTGCCACTAGCTTGTATCACCTTGGACAAATCACTTTGCCTTCCTGTGTCTCTATTTTCCTGTCTGTAAAATGGGGATAACAGGAGCTATCTATCTTGAAAAGCATGGACATTCGCAAATGACAGAAGCCATGTAAGTGTACAGCACTATTATTACTTTTAATATCCACACTAAACTCAGAATGACAATATCTATATGCAAGGAACTCAACAGCTTTAAATGTTTTTATTTTTTCCTTCATTTTATCATCAAAGAAAAATCCAAGCCAGCAGTTAAGAATAAAATTAGGAGCAAAGGTACGGGGAAGGAAAGGTTACTCACCTTGTGCAGTAACTGCAGTTCTTCAAGATGTGTCCCCCTGTGGGTGCTCCACTTTAGGTGTGCAGGCACCCAACCTTTGACTGGAGATTATTGGTAGCAATGCCCGTTCTGCCAGCTCACATGACATCTTCATGCCCTGTACCAAGACTATATCGGGCCCTCCATTCCTCCTATGCTGCAGAGCCCACAGAGGCAGTTTTGAAGCAGAGGGGAAGAGGTCAGGTAGTGGAGCAACTGCAGGGACATACATCTCGAAGAACTGCAGTACCTGCACAAGGTGAGTAACCTCTCCTTCCCCTTCGAGCAGTGCCCTGTGGGTGCCTGTGATAGTCCTTGCTCAGGGGTCGGTTGGTAGGGTAACGCCACATACTGCTCATAGCTTAGGCATTTGACTTACAGGAGGGTTGTTGATAGGGGAGCCAGGACCCTCCCACTCCACTGGGCTCTGACCCAGGCCTTTTGAGGGCGATCAATGATCTAACAGCCAGGGGATTGCTTAAGGCTGCCTTCCCTAGGCCACGTCCTATCTCCCACCTTGCGATTGTCCCAAAGTCGCCCTCTGGGTTAAGATGGTGTGAAGGGTGCCCACTCATCCCAAGACACCTTCTGGTGGCAGTGTATAGCGTGGTAGCTCTCTTCCTCTCTTGGGTGGCAACTGCCTCTTCTTGTGGTCTGGACCACCCTCCTGGGCAGCTCAGCCGTAGGGCCTTCCCCTGCAGGGGTAGTCCAGACCAAACAAAAGGAATTACCAAAGTCCAGAGTTTGTATGAGAGGGAGAGGGGAATGCTTCCCTCTCAGGCTGTTTCTGTAGTAGGCCCTCCCTTGCCTCAGGGAGGGAGCTTTGGGCAGTTGTTTGGGGGAAAGATTCGGCCTTTGTCTCAGCCCTTCTCCACTGAACGTTGCAGGTCTGCTCTCTTTCCTGGTCTGCCACCAAGTGAGCTACTTCCCTGCCTTTTAACTCCTCTTCCAGTTGGTGCATTTGCTACAGGTGTGGTGGGGGTGGGGTTGGCTGGGCCTGGAGTAATTCCTTAACCACTTGTTGTCCAGTGTGGGGTTTGCACACCCCATCACAGTGTTCCATTTTAGGTGACTCCTTAGCAGTAACCATTTAAGGAGGTGGGAGTTTCAGAACACCACTGAAGAAAGAACTGCATTGCCTACTGCCACATCTGATCTTGCAGCATGATTAAGACATAGTGGTCGGAAAACATGTGCAACGAGGACCATGTTGCAACCCTGCAGATTTCAGCAACTGTAATGTCTTTAAGTATGCTACAGATGTAGACTGCACACTCTGCTAGATGACAATCACTCTTAGGGAGGTATAACCCCAGTGAACCCATAGCAGGCAATAATACATCGAGATCCATTTAGAAAGTGGTTGTGGCTCGCCCAGGTCAGCTGACTTGGGCTGCGGGGCTGAAAAATCTCCGTGTTCTGGTTCTGGCTGGAGCCTGAGCTCTGGAACCATGTGAGGGTGGAGGGTCCCAGAGCTCAGGCTACAGCCCAAGTCTAAACGTCTACACAGAGATTTTTCAGCCCCAGAGCCCAACCCCCACTAACCCAAGTTAGCTGACCCAGGCCAGCCCAACCCCCACTAACCCAAGTCAGCTGACCCAGGCCAGCCACAGGTTTTTTATCCCTGTGTAGACATGCCCTGAATGGAGACAGATGCTCCCTTAGACCTCTATGCAATAGAAACAAAGATTCTAGGGGTTTTCCAGAATGGCTTAGTCCTGTCTAAGTAAAAGGCTAATGCTCACAATATCTAGTGTATGAAAAGCAGACTCTTGTGTTTTAGGCTGATGCAGCTTAGGAAAAAAAACCCAGAAAGTGAATAGTTTGGTTGATATGAAATTCAGAGGACACCTTAGATAAGATCTTTGGATGAGGTTGTAAAGCTACCTTCTCCTTGGAAAACAAAGTAAAAGAAGGGTGGGCCATTAGAGCCTCCCATCTCCCCAACTCTTTGAATAGAAGTGATGATCACCAAGAACACTAACTTCGTAGACAGATGTAGCAGCAAGCATGTAGCTAATGGCTCAAAGGGTTGTTTCAAGGGCCTAGTTAAGAACTAGGCTGAAATCCCAAAATGATGTTGGGGCTCTAATCTCCAGAAAATGTCCTTTTAGGAATCTTGCAGTGGTCGGGTGAGCGAATACTGAGCTGCCATATGAAAAGCTATTATTACCACTAAATGAACCTTGATGGAACTCACAGAAAGGCCTGAATTTTTCAATTCCAACAGGTCAAAGACTGAGGAAAGGAAGGATGGCACCAGTTACACCAAAGGTTATATCGTCTCCATTTCTGAAGGTAAATTTGTCTAGTAGATTCCTTTCTGCTATTTACCAATGTCTTTTGAACTTCAGATAAACATGTGGTCTCTAGTCCCAAGCACCATTGAGGAATCAAGCTTGTAGTTGCAGGATGTTCAGATTAGGATGGAGCACTTGACCCGCATTCTGAGACAACAGTCAAGGTTTGTTCAGGAGCTGCCACAGAGGGCAAGAGGTGAGTTTGATGAGGTAAGGAAACCAAATTTGCCTTGGCCAAGTTGGTGCAATCAAAATTATTTTGGCTTTATCCTGTCTGACCTTGATAAGGACCTTTAAGAGCAATGGAGTTGGAAGATATGCAGAAAGAAGACCTTTTGTCCATATAATGAGGAAAGCATCTCCTAGAGACTGGGAATAAAGCCCCCCGCTGGAACACAATTTCCTGCACTTTGTGTTGGCTGCTGCAGTAAAAAACTTGACCTCTGGAAATCCCCAAGCTAGGAATATTTTGTTGAGGACTCAAGAGTCCAACTCTCTTTCGTACTTTAGGGAGAAATTTCTGCTCAGGTCCACCATGGTGTTTTGTATACCCAGAAGGTAGGAAGGTTAAATGACTAACTGATTGGCTATGCACCATTTCCAAAGCTTTATCGCTTTGGGGCAGAGCAAGGGGGAACACGCTACACCATGACAATTGATATAATACATGCATGCAAGGCTGTCATGATCTTGATAGACTTGGTTTTGAGTAGGGAAAGAAAGTGGAGGCAAGCATTTCTGACCATCTTTAATTCCAACAGATTGATGTGCAAGCACTGTTCCTGTTGTGACCATTTGTCTTGGACTGTGTGAGGACCCAAATGTGCTTCCCATCCCAAAAGGGAAACATTCAACATTACTATCACTGTAGGGGATTCTGGCTGAACAGGATTCCTGCACAAACTTTGGATGGATTCAGCCACCAGATGAGTGACTTCAGGACCTGATTGGGTACAGATACTCACTTGTTAATACTGTTTGTTGGGTATACAAACAGTCCTGAGCCACCCCTGAAGATACAAACAGGTGCTTTGTGTTACAAAAACGCAAGCTGCCATACATAACAGCAGTTGCAGACATGTCCTTGCTGGAACTTGAGGGATGAGCTGCACTCTTTGTATATGGTTCTTCAGAGCAAGGAACCTGTCAAGAGGGAGATAAACTCTTCACATTATCGAATCCAGAAGTGCTCCTATAAAGAGAATTCATTGTGCAGAGGTCAAGATAGATTTCTTGAGATTTATTTGCAGGCCTAGCCTTCAGAATAGTGAAGTTGTTGTTTGAACGGCAAACCTAACTCCTGATATGACCAACCCTTGAGGAGCCAGTTGTCAAGGCAGGGAAAGACAGTTATCCCTATATGACTGAGATAGGCAGCTACGACAGCCATAATTTTTAAGAAAACCCTTGGGGCGGATAACAGGCCAAAAAGTGTAAAACCTGGTAATGATTGTGATTGAAAGTGAAACAACCTATTCTTCTTTGGTATCAGAAAATATCTTGAATAGAACCCTTTTCCCCTGTGTCGAAGTGGGACTGACTCTATGGTTCCTAGACTTAGGAGTGATGAGATCTCCAGTGTCAGCAATTGCTTGTGAGAGGAGCCCCTGAAGAGGGAAGGGGAAGGGGGTTGGAAGGGTGGGGTGGAGGTAAATTTGATAGTACAGCCGAAGTAATGGCCTCCAATACCCATTCCCGTACTTGATGAAAGAGAGAGGTGGTGTTCAAATTGAGGAAGAAGGGTTGTGTCCAGCAGTTGATAAAACCTGGTCATTGGATGGTCTGGACTCTTGACCAAACAATCAAAAATGGTGTTTGGATGATGCTGAAGGCTGGGGTGAAGCAGTCGAGGTAGTTGCAGACTTTCTTTGAAAACCTGAACCTCTTGGTCAGTGGTTTCAGTGGCCTACGGAAGGCAGAAAATTGAGCCGGGTGGGATCTTTGTGTTGACTGAGACCTGCTAAACTTCCTTATTTTTTGCAGGAGTGTATATCCCTAAAAACTTAAGTTTTGTCCTAGAGTGTTTTAGGGTATGAAGCGAGTTATCTGTGGAATCCGCGAAAAGCCTCTGGCCTTTGAAAGGTAAATCTTCCACAATTAATTGTACCTCCCGCAGAAACCTGGGACAACTGAAGCCAGGAAGTTTGTCTCATTGATACTGTGGTGGAAACAGACCTGGCTGTCTTGTTCGTCACACTGAGTGAAGCTTGCAGTGAAGTTTTTGCTAAAAGCTGACCCTCTTTTATCATGGAGCTGAACTGTTCATGATGTTCCTGTGGTAAATGGTCAGTAAAAGCATTAAATTTCTCTTAATTCAGGTAGTCGTATTCTTACATCAGCACCTGGTGGTGAGTTATCCTGAACTGAAGTGTTGTTGATGAATAGCTCTTATGACCTTTCTAGTCCTTATTATAAAGGGGTGGCTTTTTGGATATGCTGCCTACCCCTTTCATTGGCTGCATCCATGAACAGAGAGTTTGGTGTAGGATGAGAAAATAAAAATTCAGAATCCCTGGGTAGGATGTAGTATTTTTTAATCATCCCTCTTCCGTGTGGCTTAGTGGTGGTGGGGGTGTTGCTGGGGTTTGCCAGATGGACTTGGCTGGCTCCGAGAGGGCTTCATTAATTGTCAGTGCCAATGGGGGCTGCGGGGAGTGGCACAGGCCAAGGGATATGCTGGCCACTGCTTCCCAAAGCCCCCATTGGCCTGGAATGTGCTGAGGTAGAGGTGTGCAATATGCCCAAGCAATGAATGCAGTGGGAGTGCCTATCACTAACAAGGATTGCTTCTCAATAAGAAAGGCACCTTTTAAATCCCAGTGAGCCTGGTATCCCCAACAAAAGAAAAAGTTGTTCAAGCCCCTCAGCCCCTCAATGGGAGGAAAAGAAAAAAACATCTTTCTATCTTTTTTTTTTTTAAAGAAGAGGGTAACAAATGTTCCAGCTGTAAGGTATTAAATCTACTACTACTTAAAACTAACTATAAAGCTAAAACACTAATAAAAGTGGGAAACAGGTACAGCACAGTCACATGCTAGATACTGTCTCTGGCCAAAGGCAGTTGCAGTTTGCCCTCAGAGCCCTATATAGCAGGGGTGGCCAAACTTACTGGCTCACCGAGCCTCATATGAACCTCATCCGAAGTTTGCGAGCCGGGGAACACCTGCTGGAAGCACCAAGCCTCGGCAGGTGCACCCCATAGGGTTGAAGCCCCGGTACCCCCCTCTCCTTGGACAGAAGCCCCTACCCCACCACCCCTTGCAAGGCAGAGGTCCCGAGCTCTCCCCCCCAGTCTTGGAGATGGAGACTGAGGGGAGCTGGGGGCTTACGAGCCGCACTTTAACAGTAAGAGCCGCATGTGGCTCACGAGCCACAGTTTGCCCGCCCCCCCCCCCCGCAGTATAGCCTCAGTTCAGGGCACGAAGATGTGTAGGGTGAATGTGCGGGCAGAATAGGCATTGCTACCAAAAATCTCCATCAAACGGCACATGCTCACTTTAATGGAGCACCCACAGAGACATTACTCGGAGAAGAAGTGGGGTACATTTTCCAAGTGAGATGGTCTCACTGCTTTCTATAATGGTGCTAACAATAGTTTTGTCCCATCTACATTAACATTTAAATAGTTTTCAACATCAGTTGAGGAGGAAGGGTGGAGGGACCGTATGCTGAAAACAAATGTGTCATTTGGGGGGGGAGGGATAGCTCAGTGGTTTGAGCATTGGCCTGCTAAACCCAAGGTTGTGAGTTCAATCCTTGAGGGGGCCACTTGGGGATCTGGGGCAAAATCAGTACTTGGTCCTGCTAGTGAAGGCAGGGGACTGGACTCAATGACCTTTCAAGGTCCCTTCCAGTTCTAGGAGATGGGATATCTTCATTTCATTTTCCTTGTGAAAATACAACTTAACTTGGAATGTGCATCCCACCTCACCTGTACTTCAGCTAGTAGTCTCATAGCAGTTCTGCACTGTGTTTACATAGTTTGATCTAGCTACGTCTGTCATCCAAGTCAGGAATATTTATCCAAGCCTCACATGAACATTTCCTTCCTTGGAGTAATGAGGTCCACAAATCCATGACATTAAATCTGTGAACCTCATTACAAATAAGAAACTAGTTAAACAGATACAGTGCATCCATGTAAAGTATGAATCCAAATAAGGCCTGTATGTGTGTGATAAACACATGTTTATCAATAAACACACAGGACCCAATTCTCTTCTCTCTCATGCCAGTGTAATTCAGGAGTAAGTCTGTTACCTTTAATGGAGTTACACTAGTGGAAACCATGTGCGCAAGGTAAATAGGTCTACATACTTTAAGTGAGTTGAACCACTTACACCACATCTGAATTGGGGCCACATACTGTACTTAAAGGGATTTGTGTGTGTAATCAGAAGACTTTAGTCCATAGAATGAGACTGAACAAAAAATGTCATATTAGCATGCAGAAAGGTTTTTTGAAACCAGAAATCACACAAACAAATGCTTGAGAGAATCTTACAAATCCATCTTCACAGCTACTCATTATGGGTCTAATCCTCGGGGCTTGTCTCCATTGGGGATTTTTGCATCCTAGTGCAGATGCACTGCATCGGTGTAAATTGAGGCTTACAGTGGTGCTGTTTAAGTTGGTTTCAGACTGGGGAAAGCTGCACCAGTAGCAAGTCACTTTTTACCCCAATGAAGTATATCTACAAGCTCCACTACCGCCAAAAAAAAAGGGGGGGGAGGGGAGGGTGGGTATGGGTCAGCAAGGCCTAAGAAATATTTTGTATCAACTTCCACTCAGTTCAAAGGGAGTTTGAGATGCTCAGTGCTTGTCAGGGTCAGGCCACACCTTAACCAAGCTGCATGACATGTTCAAAGGGGAGTTTGTGTTTAATAAAATTAAACCATGAAATCAAGTAGTTACTAAGGCACTGATGATACGGTCAGGAAATTATTAACTAAACAGCCAAGGAAGGACTCCGTTATCCCACTGTTTACACTGCTGGTCCCAGAATATTAGAGACTAGGTGAGTGAGGTAATATATTTTTATCCAATAAAAAATATTACCTCACCCACTTGGTCTCTCTATTATCCCAGACATTTCCAGGGGAAAGTTAACGCATCTAATGATTAAAGAAATTAATGAGGGACTTCATGGTTTTTATGAAGAACTACATAAAAAGGACATTTGCTAAGCCTCTGCTGATAGTTTTACTGTTCTCAACAAGTTAAATAAAATTGACTTAAAGATCACAAAATGCCCAGAAAAATATTGTTAATGCTCTAACATGGGTTTTATTTAGTGTGATATTATGCAATAATTAGTTTATTTCTCTACAGTTTTAATGAAGATCCTGACTCCAAAATGGTTCAGTTTTACTGGGATCAAAACAAGTTCCCACCCTTCCTTCATTTCTTCCCAGACTTACAGCTGCCCTTTCCAGCACTTATGGTTTGTTGGGGAGAACTGCTTCCCTGTGGATTAGACAGCACTAATCACAAGTCTGGTTCAGAGTGGGTGTTGCAGACATATAGAGATGATGCTTAATGCAACATGCCACAGTGAGATGCAAAAAAAAAGAAAAAAAAAGAAAAAAAGAAAAAAAGATCTGCAGTATTTTGAATATCCTCAACTCCCTATTGATTTCAGTGGGAACAGAGGTTGCTCAGCATCTTTCATGATTATAAAGGAAGCCAACTTTCCTGTTCAATTCTCAGTTTCTGACAGGTTTAGATAAATGGTGCTTGGGAAGGTGCTTTTATCTTCGGTATCTTTTATGGATGTTCAAGAGTCTGCAGAGTGTTTAGGGTTTGGGGAAGCTGTAACTGATGAAACTGACAAACCACTAAAAGAGAAAAAAAACACATTAGTTCTGAAAACCTTGCTGCTGGGACAAGTCCATCCTGAGCTAATGGACTCAGTGAGTCAAAAGAAACCATTTCCAATATCAATAAACTGTGCCAACAGGATTATTACCAGACACAGGGTAGCCACAGACTCACTGTCCTGACGAAGCTGGCACCTCAGCTAGAGAGGACACAGGAAGCAGTGTAGCAAAGGAGACTGAGGAATGACATCTTTTAGGACTATTCTCACCCCATTAGGAATATGAAACTGGCTGCTCAACACCTGACGGAGAGTCAGGAAATCAGGGTTCTATTCCCTGCTCTGCCAGACACTTCCTCCAGGCAGGTCATTATGGCCTCCATTTTCAAGAATGTCCACTAATTTGGGGAACTTCTGTTTTTGGAAGCCCCACTTAGGACACTAGCCGCCTGATTTTCACAGGTGCTGAGCACCCATGACTCCAACGAAGTTAATGGGAGTGGTTGGTACTCAGGACATCTGAATATCAGACCTGTCTCTCTCAAGTTGGGCACCCAAAACTGAAGCACCCCAAATTAGAACACACATTTGAAAATCTGGGCTTTACCCTCTCTGTGACTCAGTTTCTCCATCTGCAAAGTGGGGATAATTTTTC